AAAGAACACGAACTAACTTTTAGGTCCGACAATGTGTTTCTCTTCAGATACACCTTATGGAAGAAAGCCTTCCACATGGCAGTCCTGGCAATCCAAATTTTTTTTGTGTGCCGGTGTTATCAACTATCAATTAATATCAAACGACCAACAAACGTTTAGAAAAAAGTAAAATTGTTTTTATTACAGTTGTGGTACTAACTTCACAGGCATGGAACATAGCATCTATAGAGCCTAATGTTTACAGGAAAAATAGTACTTAAGCACGTGGCAAACACAAAAGTTTAAACAATTCACTAAACTGCGAACCACTTATTAAATGTATTATCCTTAATGCTTTACTGGTGCACAACAAAAATTCAAATCACACTTTTATAACTGAAAACCGGATTCAAATGAATTTATGACAAATAATAGTGGAGCGTGTACAAAACACGTATTTACCGACTTGCATTCAAATAATTATTTTCAAATTTATTTATTCTCGAAATTGTCAATTTTCTCCAGCAATCAATTATAATTATTGCTATCTTCCTAGACTCATATTTCTGAAGTCTTTTTAGTTCGAAACGATACTTTTTTTGTCCAATTAGAGTTTTAATAAGCAAGGGCGAAATATATTATTAATGGGAAAAACTTGAAGAAAAGGAAATGCCACTACTTGCTTGTGCAAACTTTTGAAGAAATTTTAACAAATCAAATTAAACTTCCTCGATGGAATGCGCATCAAATGGTTCTCTTAGTGCTTCTTTCAATTGATTTGAACCTCGAAAATTTTTACAATTTCCCAAAAAATAGGAACTCGTGGAATTTGAGAACATTATTGCATTAATGCAATCACAAAAATCTTTTAATGGTATTTGTGTGCCTTCTGTTAGAAGCTAAATATTAATTTCATCTAATATTAACTTGACATTTTCGTGATAAACACAAACAAATACGGAGTGAGTTCCAGTACTTCCTGCTACGACACAATAAACATGTCTAAGCAATGTAAATTTTGAGAAGCCTATCTTGGTGTCTTTGAACTAATTTTTGAATTAGGTGTATAATTCTTCAAGATTACATAACAGTAATCTCTTCTGAACGTGCAAGCGTTTCCCATCAGGTTGTTTCACAGACAAAAGATATTTTACACCTGGCCTTTTTCGACTTATGTCATCACGTTCGTAAAAAGCTATGGCACAAAATGTCGTATCCAACCACAAGACATTTCCTTGTTTACAATTTGGAGTTGTTAGAATTCCAAATTTATCTACAAGTTCTTTTGCTTTTCGAGCCCTGCCGTTCTGATGAACTGAATTCAATCATAATTTTTGCCGACTCCAATTTTTAGGTGCAAAAGTAAGCATAAACAAATTTTTTTCCTAAGGTAGGTCAAGAAAAACTATTGAAGTCATTACTTATTTGTTATTTGCATGAAAATAAAAATAATAAAAATTTCGAAATTAAAAAAGTGCTTCTTTGAGTTTCTTAAAAATTTATTTTTCAGTGTTTCTAAAAAAAATTACAAAGATTTCAAAAAAATCTGTGGAATATAGACTTTTTGCAAAAGTACATTGCAGATTCAGACCACTGTGCTGCATGGCACCATTGAAAAGAGCATGAAAAAACCTTCCACTTTTTTTTTTGAAAAATTTGATAGATTTTTGGGTAAAGTGTACGAAATTGTTCGTATTGTTTGTTAAAGTCGTATGAAACTGATACATTATTATTCTCATCATTTTCTCTACTACCAATATTTAACCCGTATTTTTTTATAATTTTAACATTAACAATTTCATCATAAACTGATTAATCATTCTGTTTTATTTTCCATTTTGGCGTAGAAGGAACATTTAAAATATTTATATGATCGTGAGCGACAGAATTACCATTGGTAGATTCTATTTCGTGGTAAACTAAAAGTTGTTTATAAGCATAGAAATAGAATGTGCACTAGTTGGACTGACACACCAACCACCACAACTCCTACCCCCGCAAAAAATAGTTCTAAGTGGTCTTGACTTGTAAGCTAATAAATATTTTAATTGTGACGATTCGGGTTTCACATAAAAAATGGAAAAACTTACGACAGATTTTACAGCAGCATAGAGGATTACAGGATCACCTGTGATCCTTTAAAAAGGCTTTCTTTGGAGGTCACGTTAAAAGAAGTTTTGGTTCTGGGTTGAGTACCTTCTAGTACCAACTAGAACGTCAATTTGACTCCCTTTCTACATTAAGGGGTTACACCACTTTGACCCGCCCAAAAAATACGCTTTTTTAACAATTTTTTTAAGAATAGAAATTTTTTTAAAATAATTAAAATACAGTAGGGTATTATACTAGTCTTAAACTACAAAAAATATATACATATATATTTTTTTTCAAAAACTGTTAACACACATATCCAATAAAACTTTTTATTTTTTTCACTACTTTTTCATTCAAAATCACTTAGAGTACAAAGCACGCGTTTGATCATTAATACTACTGCATATAAAATGTCATCACGATAAAAGACATCGACCATAGTGATAAGGCGTTTCAGATGTGACGTTACATGCCAGATTTGACAAGTCCGCCACCATACCTTACACGCCACGATACCTTACATTCCCCTATTTATTCGAACGCCAATGCAATAAAGCGTTAATTCAGAAAATTGTGCTATATGGTGTCTATTCATTTGTTTGTGTAATATAATCTCAATTCACGTTGAGTTCATTAAAGGGTAAATTTAATTTTTAATTCCAAATGTCAGATCTTCAATATTTTTCATTTTTCGATAATATTTTGTAAAAAAAAAATTACAATGAATTGATAAGATTATATTGCACAATTGTTTGAATATACATAAGCATCATATGGACTTTTAAAAATTAAATTAACCCTTTTTTTAAATCAATGTCAATTAAGATTATGTTGGACAAACAATTGAAAAGACACCATATAGCACAATTTTTGAATTAACGTTTTATTGCACTGGCGATCGAATAAACACTATATTGACGGAGGGCGTCGAATTTCAGAAAAAAATAGTAAAAACATAAAATGTGTAATTTTATGGTGTTTTTTTTGTGCTTCCGCTTTAAATAACAAGTCACTACAACGTTTCTGATTGGCTGTTAAATGAAAACTGTGAAATAAAGAGACTAGGAACAATATACGCATGTGCGGAAGGATTTATACGATCGTTCGCTATAAAACGCCCTTTCTCGCACTTTTCCCTTGCACCAGAAGTAGGACTTTTTATGCATTGCATGTATTATATAAAATAGGTTAATTAAACAGTTTGGTTCAATGAAATAAATTTTTTCTCTGAGTGTATCTTCATGCTTTTCTTACTTATAGAATTTTCTAGTTAGTCCACATGCTACCAAGACCAGTACTTTTCTCGATGACTCTTATAGTCGCATTTTTCCACCGATTTTGATCAATGAGAGCTCATTGAAAAGATAATTTATCCAGCTATATTTTTACTTTACATTATACTTTTGTAGTAGTACACTGAAAAAAATTTTGTCCAAATCTTAAACTACTTTTTTACCTAGGTGAATGGAAAGTTGTTAAATTAATTACTTTTTTAGTTTTGCTAACAATTTTTGTGTAGTTGATTTTACTACTTTTGATGTAGTTAAAGAATAATCGTTCAGATGATTAAAAAAAGTAGTTAAATTACAAGAACAACTAAAAAATCTGATTACACCAACTACTTCTTAGTTCTTTTTATTACTTTTCGGTAGTAAATATAACTTTTTAAATTCAGTTGAGGACTTATTGAATCACGCAGAGTAGTTAAAAAGTTGTCAAACCTACTTGGAATTTTTTTCAGTGTAGGTGATGCTTTGCTGTATCCAAAAAACCAAAAATACTTTCTTTCAACATTCTAAAATGTATTTAATGAAAAAATATACTGAAGCAGATAATTTTTTATTTCTGCCTGTCATTTTGCACCTGACGAAAATCATTTTTTGTCCTACCTGCACGGAAAGTATGTCATTTCGGGCACTTAGAGCGGGCGCAAAGTAACTCATTACCACCCAGGGGTAGGGGGAAGAGTATTTTGCGCCCGCATGTTAATTATTCGATTTTCTTCATTAAGGTAGTACGCTCGCGACAGTCACTCTCAAAAGTAAATTTTAATTAAATGCTATAGTATGGTGCAGTTACTGTAGCATATTTTTGCTTGGACTGTACTGAATACATAGTCAGCCCTATGTACAGACACACAAGTATACTAGTCAGATTAGAATATTATATTATATTATATTATATCTTTTAACTGAAACGGTTAATATTGTTAAATCTTTTTGTTATAAATTTCTCAAACATTCATTTATAATATATTAGTTTTTTAAAACAATCTATAGAAAATTTTAGAAGTTATTAGAAGAAATGTGCCGTTTACATGCACTTTTCATAGGTTAACCATGTTAAATAACAAACTTTGAACTTAAATATCTTGTTTTAGAAACGGTCAATTTTTTTAATATTTTGCAAATACATAGATCTTGTTATTAACTATTCTGATTTCAAATTTCATGAAATTCTATAGAAAAGTGCGATTGCGAGCGTACTACCTTAAAATGTGATATTTTCGAGTTTCTTTTTATGTTGACTATAAAAATGCAAACATTTTCAACTTGTTTTATTTTGTCTAGAAAAATGTGCAATTTTTTTTCGATTTTCTCTAAAAAAAATTATGACACATTTGGTTTTGTTCACATTTCGGTTATAAAAATTGGCAATTACTATATTTCCAGAATACATTGTTTTCTTATTTCTATATTAAAACTTGTATCATTATAGACTTCAAAGAGTTAACATTTATATAGAGTTTAATTTTTAACTAATATGAGCGTTTAATCGTTCGTGCCCTCAATGACATACTTTCTATGCAGTTAGGACAAAAAATTATGTTAGCATCATGGGCGCAAAGGTGATTACGACTCTGGCAAAATCACCTATTTCTGCCCCCTTCATACGAAAATAACTATTCTTATTATATATTTTTGCAGATAGTCGTCGTCACTGAATATGCTGATAAAGATCTCTATGAAATTATAGGAAAAACAGGTCGATTATCAGAAGAAAGGGCTCAAGTAATTGCTTGTGATCTAGTTTCTGCACTATACTACCTTCATTCGAATCGAGTATTACACAGGTTTGTACCTATTCAAAAATTTACAAGATTATTTGAATAAATAAATATCAGAATTTGCTAGCACAACGTAAAACAAATCCTAAGTAAAGAATCTATAGAGATGTAAGTTTTAATTTAATTTAAATTAAAACTTAAAAATAAGTAAGAAAAGATTTTTATTTCATTAGCAAAATTTTTAAAAGTTAATTTATTTAACAGAGATTTAAAACCACATAATGTACTTCTTGAAACAAATGGCGTGGCAAAATTGTGTGATTTTGGATTTGCTCGTAGTATGAGTACTGGGACTCATGTACTGACTTCTATAAAAGGGACTCCATTGTATATGGCACCCGAATTAATAGAAGAACGTCCATATGATCACAATGCAGATTTATGGTAAATATGAAAATGATTTTTTTTAGTTTTGAAATTTTTTTAAGTCAAAAAGCTTGTTTTATTATTCTTATAAAAAATTCACGTTTAGGTCCCTTGGTTGCATAGTTTACGAATTAGTTGTTGGAATACCACCTTTTCAAACAACTTCTATTTTGCATTTGATAAAACTCATTCGTTTTGAATCTGTGAAGTGGCCGCCTCACATTTCAAGCATTTGTAAAAGTTTTCTCCAAGTAAGAAAATTTGCCATTCTCAACAGATAACTTAATTACGGAGAAGATTTTGTAACTATATTGAGTTCAATATTTTTAGGGTTTATTACAAAAAGATCCTTCTCAGCGTTTGACTTGGCCGGATCTTTTAGAGAATCCGTTTGTTAAGGATAGAATTATTACTGTTGGCACTCCTATTCCAACTGCTCTCACTACTCCACTTTCAGCAAGTCAAGAGAAAGCTAAGCAACAACAATTTCATATACTCAACGTTAAGTCAAACAAATCAAAGTTAGTACTCGTTATTATAATATGTTATAGTACTTGTTGTTACTGGTGATTTTAGGAATTTAAATATAATTGGAAAAGAATTAGAAATATTAGAGTTTTTGAAAATCCTAAGGTGTCCTAACCCCTTAAAATAAATCAACTATAATAACTGATTTTTTTTAATTTATATTTTTCTCACAATTCTAGAGACATTTTAGAAAGAGCAGTATTGAAAGTTCAAGAACATGAGCGAAAGTTACGAGAAATTCATAGGCGAGGTTGTATCTCACAAGTACGTTTTCCTGCTTTGCTTAATTACTATGCTTATGGAATGAATCAACAACCATGTCCAGTACTGAGACGTAGTGAACCAAGTGGGACAGACTCAAGCACGAGTGTCGACGTTCTTCTTGGAAATTTAAGTTTACGAGCATCTTTACAAAGTGACCTTCTTGCTGCAGATCACACTGCTTGTCAAATGGATTGTCCAAATTCTAATTATTATGGCGAAACATTAATTAATCAAAATTCCCCATTTTCCAAAACAGACAATGAACAAAAACCAGAGTGTATACCTACTTTAGCGGAAGAAACTTCTGTTGTAAATGCCAAAAGTGTTAAGCCTAGTGATAAGAACCAAGACATAAAAAACGAAAATGTTTATTCACAGAAAGAAAATTTGAAACATAGTCGTTTAAGTAAAGACTATGATCAGGAATTCAATAAAGAAAATACTGTTGATAAACATACTCGATTGCCAGATTGGAATCCTCAAGCCGTGGAGCAACCAATAGAGAACGAAGAATGGGTTGCTTTTCTTCAGAGATCAATGGAAGAAATTATGGATGGAGAAATTGGATCCTTACTTCAGGAAAATTGTGTTTCTGTATTTGTTTCTCCACTCAGGAATCCAGCAGTGGGATCTCAAGTCATAGAGTACGTTGCTTGTTTACTTGCACTTCCGTTCGTCGCAAAAACTTCAGCCAGTAATCTAGAAACAATTCAGAAAGTTTATCTTGATGTTCGAGTCGTTCCCAATATTGTGTATGGTTTAAAATTGCTTATGGTCCAAGGGGATGATAATGAAGCTGCTGCAGAATTGCCCATTAGAACAGCTGCGTCTCTTTCTGCCGAGGAACTTCAGGCTATTGAAAGGAATATTCTACTATTATGCAGATTAGTTTATGTTCAAGAGCAATTTCTCACTCAATTTTGCGATGCGATTTACATTATTAGTGGAATTCCAGTTCTACAAGAATTACTCACGTTGGAGAAAAGAAAGTCAGGAGTAGTAGCCTATCTATTGGCAATTTTAAACAATGTTATGAGATGTCAGCCAGAAAATGCAGAATTAATAGAGAAAGTAGTATTGAGAGTACAAAACAATGGTAAGTTTAAATTTAAAAGAATTTTTTTAATAACTTTTTTAATGAGCAGATGTTGGGTGTCGTGTTGACAAACTTATGTTAATTATTTCGATATGTCTTGATCGATCATGGTATTTTTAAATTTAGCAACTTCACTCCGTGCTGAAAGTACGCCGAAAACTTTTCTCTAACTCTTCGTTTTAAATTTTTTTAGACTTGAACCGCCGGCCAACAAAAGGGCTTACTCAAGGTTTTCGTTGGTTCCTCGAATAGCGGAGACTCGCTGCACCCCGGACCAACGAAAGTCACTCATAAGCTCTCTTTTGGTCACCGGTGGTTCAATTTTAAAAAATTATAAATATGTGTTTTTTACTAATACTGTAGATAAAATTTATTAATTTTTTCCAGAATCAAAAGAAAGTAAATTAGAGCAATTAGAAAAATTATTAACTCATCATCAAACTGTTATGAGATTGAGAGCATGCATTTTAATGAAGCATCTTGGTCGATTCTGCTGCAGAGCTTTACAACATATTTGGGGAAACAGTTTGAAAAGTAGCCTAGAAAAATTAACTATGGATGCAGATGCTTCCGTTAAAGATGTAGGTATTTTAAAAATCCTTTTAGCGACAAAGATTAATTGTTTATTTTAAAAGAATATTTGGTTTCAGGCAGCTGTAAGTGCCGTTAATGAACTTAAGCAACTGCCTTATTATGATCAGCAGCCGACGGTGGAATAAATATAAGGATAAACAAAAAAATCAAATTAATTTTTATAGCAGTTTGCAAAGATATTTTTATACATATTGTTAGTGTATAATGTAATATTTTCTTACAAAACAAAAAGACTGTTGTATTTTTACAAATTTCTACCTTTTAATAAAATAATTTAAAATATACATTAATTGCAAAATATAAGAGGCATTTTATATTCTTTGACTGATATTACAGCTTGCGTCCAACCATCAGACAAGTTATGTAATTTTAATATTGTCTCTACTCTATTAGAAGGTCAAACACGAGGAATAAGTTCGACCTCTTCTTCACCAGATTCGAGAATTTTCATCAACTGTAGTTGCAAAGATGTACCTTTCCAAGCTCTTATCAATACTGGAGCAGTTCATGGTAATGCCATTTGCTCTTCACTCAGCATTAGCGACGTTTAAACGATTAATTGATTTAATCATTTCTCCATAACTAGCACCGACAGTATTATCTTACCTGGACAATACCGTTTTTACTTTAGTGACCTTCAAAGAACACCTACAACTCATGTAAGAAGTTTTTATTAGACTCTATGAAGCTAAATTAATACCAAATTGAGAAAAATGTTCCTTTGCTACTAAACAACTTATTTATCTTGGCCATCTCGTTGACAAACAAGGACATCACCCAGATACGGAAAAGATAGATTCCATCTTGTATATTCAACCTCCGACGTGTTTGAAAGAATTAAGATCATTTATTGGTAACCGACGATTTACGAAGAATATCTCAGTATTAACAGCACCTCTAAAATCTTGACATACCCAGTAAATATGGTAATAGACTAACAGCCTGTCAAATTTCATCTATTTACATTTTAACAAAATTTCATATTTTCTGTTTGTTATCGGCATTTTTACACTTTAAAACAATCAGTCATTTTGATTAAAATGCCAAATCGAGTCAATAAACGTGAAATCAAAAGATTCAAGAGGACAGAATTGTAGGTGAAAAAGCAGGATTGTCAGAATGCCCCCAATACGGTTTTCACTCCAAAACGTATTGGCAGAAACTCGCCGCCAATTCTATTCGCTCACGGCCAATTCTTCCTTTTTTACTGGGTAATAGATAATGGAACTCTTTTAATGGGACTTTGAAGTTCAATATAAAAAAGTATTGAAAATAGACTTCCTGATTAATTATCTCGTCAAAACAACCTACAATGGAAACTATAATTCTCAAAAAGGGACTCTATTCTTCATAAAGTGCAGGATGAACCAATATATGGCCATCTTGGTGTAGGAATGAAACTAACGTGCTTAAGCTAATTTTCCTTCTGGCTTGGCATGTTGAAGGATGCAGTGGACAATATGTAAGAAATATAACGAGTAAGTGAAGTAGTGAAAACTATGATTCGTCAGTACATCCATCTACAGAAGCCAGACTGGAATCGCCATTACCCGGAATTATAATTCGCTTACAACACAGGGAAACATACCGCAATCAGTAACACACCAGCATCACTTAAAATTTAAGGGAAAAAGAATTTAAATGTAAAATAGGGTGCATATTATACACTTCAAGAAATTCGCAGACACACAGTTTGGAAGACTGCAAATCGAAACTTTGACTGGACCAGCGCACTGGATTCATCCGTCATGCCAAGAAAACTTTGTAAGTGGTACTATAATTTTTATTAATTTCCAGCGTACGTTTATTAGAATTCGCTTTTTAAGAAGAAGTTGTCAAAGAAACTGTCAACTTTTCAAAATAATAAAAAATTATAGTCTTCGTTATTTTAATTTGTATAATAACAAAAAATTAATTTTTTTCGTATTTTTACTCTTGTTTCTTTTGACTTAAAAAATTTTTTTTAACACTTCTAATCAACTTATGACTTTTTGGTTTTCACCATTTTAAAAAGCGTTTCAAACTCTATCCGAATCAACAAAAAAGTAAAAAATGATTTTTTGACACGTAAGGTCCCTTTTTATAGACCAGGTCACATATTACGTGACACTTTTTTGGGGAGGGGGGGTTAAGTTATTTGTTACGATAAGCCAAAAAAATGGCGCTAATGTATGTAATAGTGTGTTACATGGGGGAAGGGGGGATCAAAATTTTCAAAAATTAGCGTTACGTAATATATGAACAGCCTCTAAATGCGAATAAGAATTCTCTAAATTCAAAATGTCGGATCCAATATGGTTGACAAAAATTTTAAAACTTACTCAGATTCGCTTAAAACCTGGTATCTAGGGATTTTTGAGGTCGCTTATTTCATACCTGAACTTAAATTTCGAAAATTCAAAATGGCGGATCTAATATGGCGCCCATTTTTTTAAAAATTTATTCTGATTCGCTGGAAACTTAGTTCTTGAGGTCGCTAATTTCAAATCTGAAGTCGGATTTTCAAAATTCAAATATAATGGTTAAAAAATAAATTTCAATTAATATTTCAAGTCAATCAAGTTTCATAAAAATTAGAATACTTTATTCCAAATACCATAACATTTTCGTCCCTTTTTATTAATTTTGCTCTCCTGTAAATTGAAACTTTCGGTACATGTCTCTTCGAAACCAATGAGCCGATTTCAAATCTTTTTGTATTGTTTTGTTCAGTAAGGTTTCAAGATACCAATCAAATAGTTTGACACCATTCTGACCTGTTTTAAAAGACATACATCCCTAGTAGAAATTTGTCATAGTATCTTTAAGGGCACTGGACAGTTCCACTGGAAAATTTCGAGGCACTTTACAGTTAAACTGGCTAAAAACTATAAAGTGATGTCACGCTAATTTCTTCAAGTTATTGTCCAGTCAAATTTTACAGTTTCTGATCATCAGTCCTGTAGAAAAACTATACAAAATAATTCACTTGGAAATGTCAAAACTTTCTTTATATTGACGTTACGTATTAAACACGTACAAATTTGAAAATATAACGTTAAATTTTTTTGTCAACAAATTAAATAAATTAAAATTTTACGAAACTATATTTTTACTGTTGGTGTATCTATTGTTCCGTATAATAAATGATTTATAATAAATTATCTGTAAAATTATTTTTAAATAACTACATAATTAAAAAAAAATATAAAAATTACTGATTCTTGAACACATGTCATTTTTTTACATTAAACAACATTCACTTTTTCCTTTAATTAAGCACAACACTGAAATAAATATTATTATTTTATCACACTACAAACTTATAAGTAAACCCTAATATGAAGAATTAATTCAGTTCAAACGAAAAATATCTAGCGGTTTCGGGGAGCGAACTCGGGTCACACTGGGACGAAATACCTAAACGCACGCTTTACGCATCACGGCCGTTCTAGTCGATGGACGATTCCGGAAAAATAAGAACCATACTCTACCGGCAGGTAAAGCAGTTCCCTTTTTCATCTTTTCTAGCTCAACTGGCGAATTACTGGACAGCTACTGCATAACACTCTAAAGTTGAACTTATTGATTATTACTGTATAGAAGTTCTGTCTGTCCAGTTATTCTCATGGTACTGTCTAGGCGTTCCGTGAAATTATGTTTCAAAGTTTGTCGTGGCGTTAGCGCTACCGTCAGTCCAGCAACTTAACAGTGTTGTGTAGACATTTTCCATAAATACATCAGAGTATACACTGAAAGAAATAATTCGCGGGTGTAACTAGAATTATGTCTATTTTTTCCGTAAGGAATTAGTAATAAATTGTTACTGTCTACTGTCATTAATTATAGACAGTTCTGTTATTCAGATCGGAGAGCTATACATATGTCAACGTCAATTCATCAATGTAAAACATAACCTCACTTTATTGGACCAATTCTAACTTTTTGTATGTAACAGGTTTGTTAAATTAATATTTATACATATAATAAGAGTATATAATCTTGAAAAGAAATTGTCTTCTGAATTTAAAAAATTAGTTATTTTAATTAACTCAATTAATTGAAGCGAATTTAAAAAAAATTTTTTTTTTCTAAAGGAATTGTCATTAAAAATAAATTTTGATTGAAAAGAAATTTTTATTATTAAATCAAAATTTTAATATTAAATAATTTAAAAAATTTGTTATTTAGTTGTCAACAGTAAAATAAAAGAACAAAATTAAAATTATAAAAACTATAAACTGTAAAACCAAAAGATTTATTTTATAGAAAATATTTCGAAAATGTCAATACACAACTGTTTAGTTACTGAAACTGGCGGTAGCGCTAACGCCACGACAAACTTTGGAACATCATTTCTCGGAACGCCTCGACAGTGCCATGAAAATAACTGTACAGGACTTCTATGCAGTAATAATCAAGTTCAACTTTATATTTTCTTTAACAGTGTTATGCAGTAGCTGTCTAGTAATTCGCCAGTTAAGCTAGATTAAACTTCCATGACTAAAACTGTACAGTAACTTGAATAAATCTAGTCATGCCACGACAAATTTCTACTAGGGATATAAGAACATAAGAAAAAGTCAGTAATTTTTTTTTTATTTTCAAATAAATTTATTAAATAATAAAATTATTGTAATTTAAAATTTTCATTAGTTAATAATAATTTTTAATTAATGTATCCTTTAATATCCATATAATTTTAAATAAAATACATGAATTTTTATTATTAAATAGACTATTTATTTAGAACTCATTTTATAAATATTGTAAATTTATTATATTTATTTAATATTATTATTTATCTAATTTTTAGGATAATTATTAGACAAATAAATAATAATGTTTGATTTAATTTAAGTGAGTTATATTTCAATCTTATAATTTCTGAATAATGATTTTTGATTATCTTTCTTTTCAACCTTGACTTTACTATACCTTATTCAAAGGTGTGTTTGTGTCGCTGAGTACAGATGCACTCGGAAAACCTTATTTTGAATATTGTTTCATATTATTTGTATCAAATGTATATTTCATATTCGCAAATTAATTATAAATTACAATTTTATTTAACATTTTTCTTAAAGTTACTTTTCATTTATTTTATGTCGATAAAAAACAAAATTATCCCCGAAAATTCAATTATTTTGAGGAAATTTAATAAAATTCTTTGCAAAAATCAATTATTTTCATAAATAACAATATTCATTATACAAAATTCAATTATTTTTAAAAGTAATAAATTTCTCCTTGAAAATTCAATTATATATTAAAAAATTCTAATAAAATCGTTGGCAAGAATTCAAATATTTTCATAAATAATA